ACAGAGGCTTTTCAAGCCATGCGGGGACTCCAATCCATAAATCCACTCTTCTATAGCCTAACCCTCACATAAAGTTGCCACATAAAGTTGCAAACTTTACGTGAAAGCAAGGAGATATAAGCCCAACATACTTCTAGCGTTGGGCTTAAAGACAAAGGGCTTCACCAATAACTCTTAGACAGGAACTTTATGACCTTTTGGGCCATCACACGTCTAGATCGGAAGTAGCAACTTCAGATCTAAGCCTCAAACTCGAGATAGCTCCCAAAGTAGGTAATGAATCCCAAATCAACCACCATTCATGAGTCAATAATGAAATAGCTTAAGGAGGAGGTTCCTTACCCCTGAAATGTACCCAAATAGAAGTAGATTCTAGATCTACCCAAGCCCCTTGATGATGGCCTCCAAATCCCCAAGCTTCTTACACCAACTTTCTCTTCCAAGCTCTAATTCTTCATCAATGGAGTTACACACACGAGATCAGGGTTTCTGGACCTCAAATGGGTAGCAAAGAGGCTGAAGGTGGGTTATAATGTGCTTTATATATGGCACAACCCCCAGATTAGGGTTTTCTCCCTTCAACACCAACTCGCCGAGTCCAACCACCGACTCTCCGGTAACTTAACACGTGACCAGAACCGTGACTCAACTCGCCGAGTCTACCCATCGACTCGCCGAGTTGACCTTCCTTATTTACACTAAGAACCCTGAACTTGAACTTCTGAACTCGGGGTGTTACAAATAGCCTCTTCCTCAAATATCCATCCTATCAAATTATTACAGAGTGTTACAACCCAAATGTACCATGTTATTATACATACCAATTATATTTATGGGCTTAGACACCTAATCCAACACAACAAACTTAGCAGCCCAGATAGCCTCCTCGAGGGTAGGTGTCTAGCGTACTAGCACTACATATTCCTATTTTAGTCCCTTTGTATACTTATATACTTTCGTTAGTTCTTCAGGGACGATACACAAAGCAAATTCCATTTTGTCGGTGAAGGCATTGGTGTATTCGTTGATATACATGCTACTCTTCTTCAACGTTAGGAATTGCTTCTCTATCTCTAGCAAATTTTGGGCCGAGTAGAACTTTTGTTTGAAATGCTCTAGGAACCTTCCCAAGTCAGTTGTAGTGTCTCATTGGGAGTCATTATCTTTCCCAAAGTGTTCCACCAACGAACAATGCCACCCCTGAACTGATGCACTGGATATGTTGTTTGTAGCTTGCCTTTGCATCCATATGTTCTGAAAGCCAACTCCATCTCTAAGATCCAGTCCATGACTCCAATTGGATCCTTTTCCCAGTGAAATTTGATGGTTTTCAAGTTGTGAAATCCATATACTTGCATCCGTTTCTCTTGGTCCCTTCCTCTTGGTTGTTCCTCCAAACCACTAGCGATTCAGCTTGACCAACGGTTCTACTGTAATTCCCTTCTTCTGACTGTCCATCATTTAGTCTTGGTTGTTCAACGGGCATGGTAGGCTCATCCCTATTAAGCAACATGTACCTCATCTCCTTACTTTGTTCGGCCATCCTAGCACGAATCATTTCTTGGACTCATGCCATTGTGATTGGCTCAGGTGCAACTGCTACCTCTGGTGCACGTTCAATTATAGGCTGTTGATCGACATTTACATTAGTGTTTCCTAATCTGCTTTGATTTCTCACCATGTTGATCTATACACCAAATTAGACATTTGGTGTGTAATGACGAGAATTAGGAAAAATTTTATTTACGATCGATGTGTAAATCTCCTTATCACTTCGAAAAGTTACATGTCAGTTCTAATACTGTAATTAAACATTTAGAAATCTGAACACATAAAGTTTCTAGATCCGGTCGGCAACAGACCATAGATCCGATCAAATAATAGCATATAAGGCATCTTTATAGCTATAATATAAATCATTTAGCACATAAAAGCATTTTAGGCATCTTTCCTAAAATAAACTAGTGTTTGTGTCTAAAATATGGTAGACACTCATCTTACAATCATCGGTTATCATTATAAGTTTAAGAATAGAAATCCTACAAATTTCTAGTTTGCTTAAACTAATGCTCTGATACCATTTTTGACATCCCCATTTTCACGACCATAAAAGATTGATTTGTGTATTGTAACACTAGTCAAAATAGGTCAATAGACAACCACATGTGATTATGCCAATCATGTAATGTGATTATGTTAACCTAGTAATGTGGTAAGAATGTTATGTAGTTCATGATAAATTCTAATACAAATATTAACTTCCTTTATGATACAACTCAAAGTATACGTCCATACGATTCCAAAAATACAGAGAACATCTAAATCTGACTTCGCATGAAGAAGTTATGATAAACCGAACACTATAAATCTCTATAATAAGAGGAATTTAGAATAGACTTAGAATTAGCTATTTAAGTCTAAAAGATAGTTGTATTACTCATAAATACCTACGCGTGGATATAAAGAACGTCAAAAACGGAGTTCGTATGCAAAAGTTATGGCATTCCGAAGATTTAGCTTTTAAAAACCCTAAACTAGCTAATTCACGACATGAGTTTTATGACGCTCACGACATTCTGTCATAATTCGGAATCTAGAAGTTGCGAGAGGATAAGATCCAATTCACGACATGAGTTTTATGACACTCACGACGTGAGGAGTCACATGGCCACCTTCCGAAGCTAGGGACGCAAATGGCAAGTCTACAGAGTGAATCAGGCAAACTCATGACGTGAGTCTTATGACACTCACGACGTGAGTGTCATAAAATCCTACTATAAATAGCAAGATCGACCCATTCACTTCCTTACACCATTTCTCTTCTTCCTCTCTTACTTGTTGAAGCCCTCTTGCATCCCGAGCCCCAACGAACTCGCACGCTGACTGTTTCACTTAGATATCATAAAAATCACGCTACTACGGTGAGTTTCACGGCCCCACTTTCTAATATTTCGGGGGAAAACGCATGCTAGTCATTGTATATATGTTATTATTATATGATAGTATATTAGTATCAAGATAGATAGTTATAATAACTGGGATATAGTTATTTCGCATCTGAAACTATACAATTATCGTAACGTTGTTAACATGTTATTGTTATAGTAGTATATTAATGTAGATCTTGAGTTATACTTAGTAGTCTATATATTTTGTGTGCGATATAGTTCCGAAGTTATACTCGGAAGTTTTATATGTTAAGTTATATAGTATGTTGCAATTAATAGTTTTATGTCAAGATAAAACTAGATATGTTATATGTTGTTATTATTAGTTTTATGTCAAGATAAAACTGGATATGTTGTTATTGTTAGTTTTATGTCAAGATAAAACTAGAAACGTTATATGTTGTTATTATTGGTTTTAGGTCAAGATAAAACCTGGTTTTTACTTCAAGATATAACTGTTATATTGCCTAAATATAATGACGTTAGGAGTAATGTTTAAAAGCAAAGTCTAGTAACTTAAGGTTTTAGACATGAAAATGCTTTTGTTGTTAGAGCTATAGGAAGTCGTCGAAGTCTACATGAGTAATTGTATTCATCAACTAAGATTGGGGAACTTAGTGGAAATCCTCTGAACTATAACCGTTAATCCCATGTGAGCGAGGAAGTCGTGTATAATTAGTATACGGGCTGACCACCCCACTTGTGACTGTTAGCTACAATCAACCAAAAACAAGCGATGAACCATCCTTTTATTTGTTATTGTTCCGGCGTCGATGAAGCGTACATTGATGTTTCTCATGTTAAATCATGAGTGTATTTGTTCTCATGGTAAATCATGAGTGTATTGTTCTATCAGAGGTATTATGTCATAGCAGCGGTTACAAGCTTATGGTAGCAAATTGTAGAAACATTATACCTTGTTGTATACAAGTATTAATGTTAAGTATAAGTTTTCCCCTACTTATACCTTAAGATTAAGAAATATTTTGGTATAACACTTAATTGATAAGTATACAATTATACCTAATGTTGGAGAGTCAAAATGATACTTTCAAAACTATACTTTTGAATGTGTAAAAATGTATTATTTTATGGAGTCAAAACCTGTGGACTCACCAACTTTATGTTGATGTATTTTAAAATGCATGTGTTTTTAGGAACTTGAAAAGCGGGTATGTATTAGCACAGGAGAAGTTTTACTAGTATCTTTCTGTTCTTTAAGAAGCATGTCATAGTCGGATATTATGTAATAAATACTAGGAAAACAATAATGTAACTTTCAATCATCAATAAAGGTATGTATTTTCTTTAAGTATTGTTCAATGTATGTTATATAACGGTGATACGAAAAATGATGTTACACTACCCGGTGTTTCCGCCGACGGACGGGGTATGACATTTATGCTTTATTTGAAAATAAGAGTAACCTTTTTAAAGAAAAGTGTAACGCTTCGTTTATTAAATAATTAAATAGATAAAAATTTATGAGTGAACAGAAGCCCTAAAATAAATAATTATATATCAAAGGTTGGTCTCGGAGAGCTAATTGTCATAATTTTAGAATTCGAGGGTTAAAAACATAAGTCTCGGGTTAGTTTTGCAAATATTTTTGAAGGCAGGGACTAAGGGGTAAATATTGGGACTTCGCTTGAAGAGATTTTGGAGGAATAAGGGTTATTTGGTAAATTTCGTACTTAATGTGTAATAGATTTTAAGGCTGAGGGTTGAAATCGTAAATTATGGATTAGTTTTGAAAGAAAAGATGAGAATGGGGGACCATTTGTGTCATTATGAGCCAAAGATTAATGGATCCGGGTATATAGCCTTTCATTCCCGTCCATACCCTAACCCTAAGCCTCTAAGCACCAGCCACCATCACCATCACCATCACCATCCTCTTTCTTGGCCGCCACCTTATGCTTCCGTCTCTTTCAGCCGCCACTACCGACCACCAAAGTCCTCCGTGAACCGATGCGACCGACAAGAAATTTAGGGGGTGCTATTCCATTGCCAACGACGACAGACCATGGCCGTCACTGCTGCCTTTCGTGGTTAAAGAAGAGCATTCTGGTGCGCCGCCATTGTTGTGGTTCCGCCAACCATTCCACCATCGCCATCGCCATCGCCATCGCCATCTGTTAAGAAGTTAACAGCACTGCAAGACGTCGTCGATGCTGCTGACCTCGAAGACGAGGGTTGCGGATAATTTTGAGACTCAGTATTGTGACCCATCGTGGTCATGGCAGTGACGGACACAACAACCCCTCGCCATGAATGACGTTCTTCCCTCTCCGATTCAATCGCTGCTGTGACCCCCGAAACCTATCCGCCGGATGCCACCATTTTTGGGTGGCTGTGTTCGCATCTAGCAAGCCGGGTGTGGGTTGTCGCCACTTGCTGCCTTGTTTCCGTCGTAACCAGCCACCATGGATGGTGGCTGTATGTATGATTTCCATATGCTTAGGTGGGTGTATTGTGTGTGTTGTATTGTGTGAGTGGGAAAAACCTTGGCCGGAATCTAGAAAGAGATCATTACCACCACCATAAAGATGTGGCTGCCACCATCTGCTGCCGCCGGCCACCACAAGGTGGTTGTGTGTGTATGTGTTATTAGTGTGTGTATGTGTGTATTATTAGTATGTGTGTGTTTATTTGGATTGAGTTGTAAATCGTAAAAGGTACCCCAGATAATAAAAGAAGAACCAAACCACCAACCGTGAAGTGGTGGCTGTCGCCTCCTGCCATTTTTGGATTTGTTTGGATGTTTGGACAAGAGGCTACTAAACCATAATGGGCCTTGAAACCCTAATGGGCCCAATGAGGCTTAATGGACATAAAAGCCCAAACATGTGATTAATGGTCTTAAGGAAACCCTAAAAGGTCTAGTGGATCCTAATTGACCCAAAGAGACCCTAATAGGCCCGATAAGGCCCAAAGTGACCTAAAAGGCCAACCAATGCACTAATGGGCTAGTATTGGGTTGGAAAAAAAACCTAAGGGCATAAAACCTTAATTATGGAAATTGTTTGGGACACACACTCGAGTATTATTTAATAACGTGAAATATTAAATAAAAATAATTGACAGAAATTAATCTAAGTAATATTGGACTCAATGGATTAAGTTCTTAATGGGTTAAGTAGGAAACTTAACCATAATCAGCATTTTATGTGAAACCGTAACTTCACTTAGGTTTATTGTTGGGCCTTTCTATTGGGCTTTGATGATTGGATTATTAATAGGCTGTCCAAGAATAATCATATGGACTAAAATAATTTAATGGGCATAGGGTAAGGCCCATGTAAGGGGTTGGGCCCAATTTGGAAAATTAGGCCATAGATGGGTCATAGTTAGGCCTTAATGATTATATGATGTTAGGCCTTAGAATAAGACCATGTATAGGCCTGGGCCCAATTTGGAAAATTAGGCCATATGTTGGGCTTTGATTCCTAGTTGACTTTTGGGTATTTTGTTTGGGCCTTGGGCTTGAATCAAGCCAAGATGGGGTAATGTAGCCTGTTACTCCAAGAATGTGTGCTTATGTGTTTGGACCTAATTATTAATTGGATGATGTTTTGATATTGATAGTTCGGAAATCTGTCATCCAGCAATTGGGATTGTATCTACGGGACTTCAGCATTTTGAGGTGAGTTATCCTCACTATACTAAGGGGTCTAGGGCACCAAGGCCGACCAATTGGATTTGATATCCTAGTAATTATTGATATGTTGAGATGAGTTAGTAATGTATGCCAGTTGATATGCTAGTCGGGTAGATTTGTAGGACTGCCTGTGATACTGATTGATTACCTGTATATGTATTTATCTGTTACATGTCGACATGTTATGTGAGATGGGTTGAGGTTGTACTACTCCGTGCGGTAGCCAACAAACCCTAGAGTATTCCAGATATGAGCTGAGGGCCCAGTAGATATTCCAGACTCATACTAAGGACTCGGGAGTATTCCAGATATGAGATGAGGGCCTGGTAGGCATTCCAGACTCATATTGAGGACTCGGGAGTATTCCAGATATGAGCTGAGGGCCCGATAGGCATTCCAGACTCATACTGAGGACTCGGGAGCATTCCAGATACAAGCTGAGGGCCTGATAGGCATTCCAGACTCGTACTGAGGGCTCGATGGCATTCCGGATACTTCCGGATACGAGCTAAGGGCCCGGTAGGCATTCCAGACTCGTACTGATGGCCCAGGGGGTAGTCCAGCTTGTAAAGCTATGGACCCAATACATGTTGTTCTGTTCAGTTTGTTATGATATGATATTGCTGTTATAGTTATGCGAACTGTATGTGTATCAGTATTTTGGGGGGAACTCACTAAGCTTTCGGGCTTACAGTTTCAGTTTATTGTTTCAGGTACATCAGGGGAATGGCAAGGCAAAGGCGTGATCGTACAACTCCTCACTTTTTATGACTATGTTTCTGGGATACTTTGATATAGAACTGTTTTGAAAACAAATTGGTAATAACTGTTGGTTTCTAAATGTTTTAAAAAGTTTAAAATTGGCTTGAATTTTTTTGGGTGTTACAAAAAGTGTTGCAGAATTTGTTCCCATAAAAACATGATAAATGTGTTATCAAAGCATTTCCAAAGAAATGTATTTCATTTCTTTTAAAACTTTGGGATGTCATCGTGAATACAGAAACATGAGCATAAACAAACCTTACATTCATTTACACCAGTGATCTACATCTCCTTAATCTCTCAGTGTAAAGTAGCTTTGTATCGACACCTGTGATACAAATAAACTTGAGTAGGTCAGGTTGGGAAACCTGATGAGTACGTAGGGTTTTCAACCGACAATAATATAATCATGCTTAATCATTAAACAATCAACCCAATTATCCATCCCCATTATCTTCTTTATTTCTTAAGGATCCATCCTAAGAATCATTTATCATTCACTCATTCATTCCTAAGGATTGTCCTAAGGAATAGGCATGAAGTCCATCATTTGCCTAATGACACAACTGTCAATTTTATCTATTAAGCACAGTTGTCAATATTATCATTTAGGCGCAACTGCCAGAATTATGACATTCTCTATTAGGCGCAGTTGCCGATATTGTCCTTTAGGCGTAGCTACCAAGGTTATGATCTTCTCTATTAGGCGTAGTTTTCGATACTACCCTTTGAGTGCAGCTACTAGGATGTTTAGAGTACATCATAGATCAAAACATCTAGAGGTTGTGGCATAGCTGCCAATGCTCATCTATAGGGTGCTAAGTCCATTGCTGCCAATGTTCACCTACAGGGCACTATGTCCATAATTGCCAATGTTCTTCTATATCAGCTTTCATCCCTTATCATTCATCTACCCATGTTTTACCCAACATATTTTGTAGATATAAAATACATATATAGTTTAAACCATTTAAAACATGTATAAGATCGTTCATCTAGCATAGATATCAAGTAAACATATAATATGCACACATAACACGTAATTTATATAAAAATACTTCATATCAATATGTAAGATGAAAGTAAATGTGCACTTACTTCTTATGGTGGTGATTCCGAACTCAAACAACGCTTTTCTTCTATTAATTTACTTTCCTCTGACGAAACCTAGTATCATTACCACTAGATTTTAATCTAATATTTACCATGACAAATTATTAGTCTTAGTATTATTATCATTATATAAGCATTAAACAATACTTTCCAACCACTACGTACAGAGAGGGGCCAGACATGAAACACCGGAGGGCAGGACCATTTTAACATTTACGCCGTTCTGAAATTCAACAACCCTACGTGGCCCTTCAAACTAGATTCCGTGTACCGCGAGTAGTTAAAAAGATATTATAACGACACTTATATAAGTTATAATGGTAGCCCAAATAATTATTATGATTTCATAATAACAATACTAATTATAAATATAAGCTATACTTAAAGTAGGGTAAGCATATCTTACTTACAAGGGGGTTTGGCTAGGAGTCGGGCTCTACAGGAGCAAAACTTCATCGCTGAATCTTTCTAAAAAAGATTCTTGCAGCACTTGCGCGCTCACCATACTATACTAAAACTATAGAAAGAGAAGTCGAATCACGAGGGACCGAAATGTTCGAGGGATAAGAAGAGAAAGACTCTTGAATCAAGAGAGTGGTGCAAGAAATATGAGATCCTAGAGACTTTTATTTATAGTAATTGAATTTTCAAAAACTACCATTTATAGTTACTTAATAACCTTATAGTTATATAAATGACTAAACATCCCTTTATAATACTATTTTAGATAGATTTAACGATATTTGTACTAAACTAATGTCGAAAGTACTCAACACTAGTCTTATAATGACCACATCGTCGATACCTTTCTAATGATATATACATACGTATATATGTGTATACGTATATATGATTTATACTTTATTTTAATACGTAAATATGCTATCATAATTTATAACTCATTCATACAAACTTTGTTTTTGACGTTCTTTATATCCAAGCGTAGCTATGGACGAGATCTACAACTTTCGTTTAGACTCCGTCAGCTAATTTTGATTTATTTTTTGTCCATATTTTTATAAAGTAAATGACTTTGCTAAAATCACAACTCTCTAATACGAACTCCGTTTTTGGTATTCTTTTTCTCAAAATTTCTATTTTAAGGAGTACTACAATTTTCTATTTGGTGGCATTAGCTAAAAGTCAACCATTCTCTTCGTTGTTTTTTACGTCATACATTCGTTGTGTGCGGTTGACTTTTATATCTTATAAAAATCATATTTAATTTATATGCAGTCGGAGTTTTATGAAATTTATATTTTCGGTATCAGGGAGATATGTACTTTCTAAATTATATATATATATATATATATATATATATATATATAAAAATGTTTTGGCACACTTATTTTTATGATTTATTGACAATTCCACTGATTTTCCTATTTATATTATAATAACCATAAAACACATAATATTCACATAATTATTCTTTATTACATGAAACATGTTACAATTGTTGACAATAACTATTACATTGATTAAGATTATTTATCCTAGATAAAAAAATATAGTTTTTAACGCTTATTATTGACTAGCCTGAATCTGCAAGTGTTACATCTTGCATATAAATATCTGCTAATTTCTCAGTGAAGATGCTCTCGGAGATCAGAATGAAGTGGACACTCTTCGTCAACCTGTCCACAATCACCCATATCGCATCCACACCCCTCGTTGTCCTTGGTAACTTCATGATGAAGTCCATGGTGATCTCTTCCCATTTCCACATAGGAGTGGGTAATGGCTAAACCTTGCCATACGACTGCTGATGTTCGGCCTTGACCTTCTTGTAGGTCAAGCACCACTCTACGAACCAAGTGATCTCCCGCTTCATGCATGCCACCAATAGCTTAGTATAAGATCTCTATACATTTTTGTAGCTCCTGGATGTATAGAGAAATTGGACTTGTGTGCCTCCTCCAATATCTTCTGTCTCACTCCCCCAGTAACCGGTACCCAGACCCAGCCACACTGTGTCAAGAGCCCCCAACCATCCTGTAAAAATAAAGGAAACTGCCCCCAAATCCGCTCAATCTTCTAGTTATCTTTCTTCAAACCCTCCCCTTGAGCCTCCTTGATCATATCTAGTATTGGAAAAACCACCGTCATCCTCAGACAAACATTCCCGATCGGGGAACCTACCATCTTGCGGCTCAAAGCATCGGACACCACGTTGGCCTTCCCCGGATGGTATAAGATCTCACAGTCG